GCCGTGGACGGGGCCGGGCGCAGTCCCGGCTGCTCGGACCAGACTCGCCGCGGGGACCTGGGAGAATTCCCCCAATAAATTAGGGTCACGGTTCACCCACAGCCCCGAGTAATAATAGCAGCAGTAAGCGATGAAGGCAGCAAAAACTTACGTGGCATTTACTCTTCAGTGCTTTTCATGGTCAGCCTCAAGGCAATTCTAAAAGGTGTTATTATCATACCTATTGCCTAGATGGGGAGACTGAGGCCCAGGGGGGTTAAGTAACTCGCCCAGGGCCACACACGCAGCCAGCGCTGGGCTCGGGATGCTAACCAGACCGGGTGCGAGCCAGTGGCCTGCGGGCGCTAGGGAGCAGGGTGTGTGCTCCGGGACAGCCGGGTGAGGGCTCCTCCCGGTCTCTTTCAGATCGCCGTCCGAGCCTGCTTCCTGGGCTTCGTGTTCGGCTGCGGGGTGCTGCTGAGTTTCAGCCAGTCTTCTTGGGACCACTTTGGCTGGTAAGAAGGCCTCTGGGAGCAGGGGGTTTGAGGCTCGGGCGGCAGAGCAGAGGACAGTCGTGGCATTCCATCTCTGGCTGGCTGAAAGCTGCCGGCCGCGAGTTGGACATGCTCGTTGGGGTCCTGTGGAAACCAGGTGTCTACCTGCCACCCGGATTCCTGCATCTCGGGCCTTGAGAACTTGTGCCCACTGGTCGCTTCTGTTGCAGGCAGAAGCAGGTCTCCCTGGCACCCTCCCCACAGGTGCCCCCACCTGCAGCGGCAGCTGCTGGGACATCCTGGGGGCGGGGGAGGGGGGCGCTCTAGCTGGCCTTCACAGGCCTGTTGCATCTCGTTTCTATTAGGTCACAGCTAGTGCATCCCCCACGGCCAGTCTGGGACTTGTCCCTACACTCTGATTGCAGTCCCTTGAGCCTTCTAGTCCCTGACCTAGATATGAGCCAGGGCTGCAAGGTAAAAGGCGTGGTCTCCTGTTATCAACACGGATCCATCTCATTCTTCGTTGCTGGAATTGTTTCTTTTTTTAAAAAAATTTTGTGTTGGACATGCGTTACTACTTTATGTTGCTAGTTCCCACTTTATGCTTTATTGTGTGTGGTGCCATTTCAAAAAGGCTGAAGGACCCAAATGCCTTCCTATTCACTTGTTTGTTTGTTGGTTGGTTTGGCCTATGACATTCAAAAGCGTAGTCCCTTTAAAACCGCCCTTTCTGCCCCGACCGGAGTGGCTCAGTGGGTTGGGCGTCCTCCTGGTCACTGAAAGGTTGCTGGGTGCAATACCGGTCAGGGCACATGCCCGTAGGGGGTGTGCAGGAGGCAGCCGATCCACGTGGATGTTTCTCTCTCTTCCCCTCCCCTCTCCTATATATATAATCATACATACATACATACATACATACATACAAGCAAGGAAGAACTTAAAAAACCATAAAACCCGACCGCGGCCTGCAGGCCTGAGGGAGTAGTATGGGCGCCTGAGGCCCACCCTCAGGCGGGACAGCGGGACCCCTCAGGACGCGGGCGTAGTTTCACAGCCTGGACCTGCGCCCGGACCCATGGCGATTCCTTCTCCCCAGATGACCTCTATCTCTTTTTAGAATTTCCTCCCCAAAAGTTCAAGTTGAACCTCTCTCTCCTCTGCTGTCAATAGGTACATGTGCTCCCTGTCCCTGTTCCACTACTCTGAATACTTGGTCACGGCGGTCAACAACCCCAAAAGCCTGTCCCTGGACTCCTTCCTCCTGAACCACAGCCTGGAGTACACCGTGGCCGCCCTTTCCTCCTGGATAGAGTTCACCCTTGAGAACCTGCTCTGGCCAGGTCAGTGTGCCCTGCTCACCCCTGGGCAGGGGTGGCTTCCACGCGGGCGTCATGGCAGTGACAGACGCCAGGGGGCAGGGGAGGGCTCTCCCCTAGGACCTAATCTCCCGGAGCGATTTCCGCAAACCTCTGTCCTCACTAAGCTCTTTATAGAGGACGGACTGTGCACCTGCTTCTGGATGTTCAAGTTGAGGGCACGGTGACCTCTTGATTTAAGCCTTGCAGTGCGTAGTGCACCCTCTGAGACGAGGCCCTCCCTCTGGTCACTGTAATCCTAATTTCCCCGTCGGAGACTGGGATCCATGGGTTTTCTGTGGCTTGAGAAATTCCACAGGGAGATTTTCTTAGCAAAAGCCACTGCACCAGGAGCCTGCTCCCCAGCTGAACTTCCGGCAGCAGAGTAACCACATGTGTGTAGTCCCAGGAGTCAGTGAATGGCCAGAGTGGGAGCGCCGGGTCCTGCTGTGTTTCACTTGGCTGTCCTTGTCCCCAAGGGAAGGACAGGAGCGTGTGGCAGGGAACGTGGACGGAGAGCCCCTCAGCTCTTTGCCATGATGCTCTAACTGGGCTGTTGGCACTTCAAATATATTTTTTATTGATTTTTAGAGAGAGGGAGGGAGAGGGATCGAGAGATAGAAACATCGATGAGAGAGGAACATCATCGATCGGCTGCCTCCTGCACGCCTCATACTGGGGATCAAGCCGCAACTCAGGCATGTGCCCCGACTGAGAATCGAACCAGCTACCTCAGTTCCTGGGTCAACACTCAACCACTGAGCCACACCAGCTGGGCTGGTTGTTGGCACTTTAAACGGATGAACAGCACAACTTAGGGGGATGGTTTTGCTTATACTTACATTTTAACCTGATGACAAATGCTGGTGCCCAGCCAGCGAGGCGCGGTCCCCGGTTCCTGTCTTGGAAAAATAGATGCGTTTTAAGCATCCAAAGGGAGCCCTCAGCAGTCCGCCTGTCACGTGTCCCCTGCAGAACTGAAGCAGGTCACCTGGCTCAGCACCACGGGCCTGCTGATGGTGGTCTTCGGAGAGTGTCTGCGGAAAGCGGCCATGTTCACAGCCGGCTCCAACTTCAACCACGTGGTGCAGAACGAGAAGTCAGAAACCCACACTCTGGTGACAAGCGGGGTGTATGCCTGGTTCCGGCACCCTTCTTACGTGGGGTGGTTTTACTGGAGCATTGGAACCCAGGTAAAGTATCAGAGGTAACCTTGGCCTCCTTTAAGTTTTCTCCAAATATTTTTTTATTTGGCATATAATTCCCATACCCATAAAATCCACCAGTTCAGAGTGTACTATTGAGTGGGTTTCGGTGTATTCACAAGGCTGTTGGTCCTCTTTATTTATTTAAAAAATATATAAAAATATATAAAATATATAAAAAATATTTAAAAATATATATTTCTATTGATTTTTAGAGAGGAAGGGAGAGGGAGAGAGAGATAGAAACATCAATAATGAGAAAGAATCATGGATCGGCTGCCTCCCGCCCCCCCACTACTAGGGATGAGCCGGAAACCCTGACGTGTGCCCTTGACCGGGAATCCAATCGTGACATCCTGGTTCATAGGTCGATGCTCAAGGACAGCCATGCCGGCTGGACACCTCATCTAATTTATTTGGAGGGTCTCGGGCCCTTGGCAGGGTGTCCTGTGGATCTGACAGAAGCAGGTGCCGCTGGTGTCCACAGTGTCCGTCCCTCTGACCCTGATCAGCCTCGTGTCCCCCCCCACCAGGTGATGCTCTGCAACCCCATCTGCGGCGTGGGCTACGCGCTGACGGTGTGGCGCTTCTTCCGGGACCGGACGGAAGAGGAGGAAATCTCGCTGATCCACTTCTTCGGGGAGGAGTACCTGGAGTACAAGAAGCGGGTGCCCACGGGCCTGCCCTTCATAAAAGGGGTCAAGGTGGAGCTATGACCCCCGGGGCGCGGCGCCTCATCAGTAGGGCATGTCCGAGATGTGTCCTTAGTCCTTTGTCCAAGAAACGGTTCCTGGACGCCTGCTCTGTGCGAGGCCTTGTCAGACACTGGGAAGTACTGCCCTCCATCGATTTGGGTTCTATTTTTTACCATAGCGTGTAGTTTTGTGTTTTGATTCAAATCTATTAACTTGATTTCTATGTTCCGTTCTCAAAATGTCATCGTCCCTGATGCCACTTCAAACTGTCTTCCAAAGGGGTGTGAGCGCTCGCACAGCTGCACAATGCAAGGCGACTCGTGAAAGGCTTACCGAGAGCAAACAGCCCCGACTGAGAGTGAGCCCTGCTTTTGTCTTTCCAGTTCAGGGAGAGGGATTGACTGTGGAGTCAAACATGAGCTGTAAAGACCCTCCGTTTAGTTCCGGACGAGACAGGAGCGTGGTCTGTGAGATCCTTCCGCGCAGGGTGGCAGCGGCGCTGGGACCGCGGCGGAGTCAGACCTGCGGCCTCCGAGGAGCCACTACCTTTCCGTGCCTAGACCTCCCCATCTGTAGAATGGGGTCAATACCGCCTACCTCACAGGGGTGTTGTGAAGACTCAGAAGAACGTCAAACGTTTTTAATGCTTAGAGGACAGAGGACATTGTGGAATCTGTACTGTGTGAGTTGTGCAAAAATGGACATTCGGTTAACTGTACCAGATGCTGGAAATGTGTGCAAAAGAGCATTTTACCAACTCAAAATAGTATTAATTTCTAGATTTCACGGCCTAATTGATCCTTTTGTCATCATATACCAAAGAGGCGTGCGGGTTCGCGAACTGGTGGGGTGAGACCCAGACACCCGCCCTGGGCCGGGGAGGGCTGTGCAGTCAGACTGGCCAAGGCCACTGCTGGCCTGAGCCAGCCTTGTTCCCCAGACCGCGCTCCGTGAGATCAGCTCCACTTAGTAGGACTGCAGGATGGGAGCGGGGGGCAGCCACCCCCAGCTCTTTGAGGGAAACTTCTTGCCGATTGGAGCCGGTGTGGACCCAGATCTAAGGCCCCTTCCCGGCCATGGTTTGTCTCCCTAGCAGCTGGGGAGCAGCTCTGAGGGCCCCGGGCTTTGTGAGGCGGCGGGTGTGAAGATCCGTCCTTCCTCCCCCTGCCCGGAGTTCAGAGCCCGCCTTCCTGCTGCTGGGAGCTCAGCCCTGGGCCACTGGGGCCGACCCGCTGCTGGGCTTTTCCAGAGCAGGTCGGAGAGGGCAGGGAGAACATGGCGCCCTCCTTGGCAGTCAGGCCCAGGGCAGAGGCCCGCGATGACGTGGGGATAGAAGGTGAACCCGTGAGGGACAGGGTTTGCAAGGGGCTGGCTTTCATCTGGCCTGGCTCTTCAGGTTATTTTTAACCGGACAAATTTAGCAGCGATGGCCTGCCCGGCAGGGAATTGGGTTAATGAGGTGCGGGCTCCCTGGGTGCTCCCCAGCTTCCTGGGCCAATGAAACCGCCAGGAGATTTCTCATGCCGTTGCGGCTTCTTAAGGGGAACACGGGCATTGCGCAGAGCCACGCTGCCTGGAAGCCGTGGACGGACCCCTGACACAGGATCCGCAGGGCTGTGCGTGGCAGCTTACCACCAAGGTAGGGAGCGAGCTGGGCAGAAAGCAAAAGGCAGAG